TGTGTGTGTGTCTGTGTGTGTTCTGACCTTCTGCTCTGTGGAATGACGCCAAAAGCGATGACCAGCAGAGCCAACACACCGACGCCCGTCACCAGAATCAGCACCAACAGTTTCCCTGAAACATCCAACAAACACTTCATGAGTCACCGTCTCTCCTCCTCTCCCTCTCCTCCTCCCTTTCTCTCCCCCTCCCCCACTTTAATTGGAGAAGAGAATGACATCGTTAGCCGTCCTCACCTTGTCACGTGACACATGAACACACACGAAGGTGCAAACAGCTTCTCTGAGTCAGACAGAGCATCGATCATAATTAGGACGAGTTGTTATATTTCGAGAGTGAAGTTGTTTCACCACGTTTAAAAGAAGAACCGTAATCAGGGGACTCGTGCTAATCGCTGCTGTGTGGGTGTTGTCATGGAAACCCCGTGCGTCAGCCTACCTGCCGGCAGTTTGTCGGGGATGCTCATCAGCAGCGTGGAGCTCCACTCGCTCCACAGGCCGTAGTTCTGCGAGCGGCAGCGAACTCTGACCACGTAGTTGCTGACGGGGAGGCCGAGCAGCTCCACGTGCGGCTCCCGCAGAGAGTGTTTGACCTGCAACACACAGAGGGGGGGGGGGGCACTTTGTTAGGAACGCCGCGCTCGGCCACGGAGTCGTACTGCGTCCGTCGCTTCCACCCTGTACCTTCCAGTTGTCGGGCTCGGTGATGTGTCTGTACTGAAGCTCGTACATCAGCGTGATCCAGCCGTACTGAAGGTGCGACGGCACCGGGTACGTCCAGGACAGCTGCACGCTGTGGCCCATCTCGTCCCCGCCGGGGTCGGTCAGCACGTAGGTCAAGTTGACGGGAGCTTCGGTCTGAACTGTGGACGACACAAAGGCTTCAGAATCACCACAGTCTTTTAATCAGTATTTCAACATTTCCCAGAATTCCCGTCATTATCGTGTCGCATCACTGATCAATCGCAAAAATCTTCACCGAGCATTTTTATTTAAAAATCTCAATTAAGCATGAATCCTCTCTCTCTCTCTCCTGCGGCTCATTCAACGCTACGAGGATCCCTCAAAGTGTTTCTGTGCCGTCAAACCTTCTTCATCTCTCGAACATTAGAACTGCAGAGGTTGAAATTAGAGTTTGAGCAGAAAAGATTTTCTAAAAACATGTTTGAGTTTCCAGAGTTTCTCGTGTGACGGTCGGAGACGTTCATCACATTCCAGAGCCTGAACAACAGCCTCAGTCAGGAGGAGTCCAGGTCTGAAGTTTCTCAGCCTCATTTGTTTTTCTTGATTTCTGCTTCTTTCCGTCCATAATTGAATTAAAACAGTTTCTTCAATTGGACGACAGAAAAACATTTCAGTGGAAGAGCGTTACGAGAGCACTAGGATCAAACCAAACTGCGAGAGGGGAACATTAGAATAAATATATAACGTGACATTATAACGTGAACCAATATGTTCTTATGCAGTGACATAATAATGTGAACAACTTGGACGTCACATCAGCGGCATGAAATCAAAGTGGGACCTCTGTGTGACATTTTACTTGTGACCTTTCGGTTGCTCTGTTCAACGGAGCCCTGAGCTGCTCTGTCTCTGCAGGCGTGGGCCGAAGTCCCTGCTGGTTGGAGATAAGAGCGACGTCTCTGACCTTCCTTCCATGTCTGAGGACAACAAAAGATTACCACGCCGGTCATGTGGACCCTCACGCAGGTTACACGCGTGTTAGCGCCGATGAGTCCCACACGTCTTGTGTTTTTCACATGACACAGACGCAGAGCAGACCTCCGCTGAGCTGCAGCTCCGATCCGGTGCAAATCTGCAGCATCTGGATAATAACAGACCCTCGCTCCCCAATAAATGTGATTAACTGGCCCTCAGAGGCTTCCTGCTGTTGTCACAAACAGTCTGCGGCTAAATAAAGCTTCTCTTGAGTTCACTTGTAGAAGACGTGCACAGAAATATCACAGCGAATGTTTTAAATGTGTGTAATCACAGAGGCGTGTGTCTCATCGTCCAGCTGTAATGTGGAGTCTTTAAATTATAACCAGGCCTGAGGGCGTCTCACTTCCTCACGTTATTCTCTGCTCGACTGGATCTACAGACACCTGCTGCTCCGACTGAGAGACAGAGCAGCTCAGGGCTCCGCGTGGACGTCAAAGATATTACATCAGATCAGAGACACGAGCTGCAGCTTATTCAGGAGCCGATCACGCATCACATTCCTCAACCAGCAGCTGAAGTTCCTCCAGATGTTCCTGACACGTTAACCTTTGACCTGCGAGCACCAAAACGTAATCAAGTCATCCTTGAGTTCGAGTGAACGTTTGCATGAAACCTGAAGAGATTCCCTTTGAGGCGCTGTTGAGATATCGTGTTCACAACGATGAGACAAACACACAACCCGAGCGTCTCCGGCCACTAGGCGTCACCAACACCTATTTACCGATATCTGCCACGTCCAGGCAGTACTTCGGGGAGGTGTAGTTCCTGCGGGCGGTGACGGCCGTCACGTTCATGCAGTAAACCTTCCAGATGGACGTGTGGCTGCTGTCGAAGTGGCAGCTGTTGTTACCGCCGCTCGTGTAGTCGGGACATTCCTGTCGGGGACCTTCACTGTGGACAAAGACAGAAGAAGAAACTTTGATTCTAACGTCCACATCAATCATCACACTGAATATTTTACAGACGTTCAAGCTTTCGTCTGAATTCTTTACAGAAACCGTCTCGTTTTCCTTTGTGCTTTAATTTGACCACGAGAACCAACGAGCTGCAGAAGAGAGTTCAAGCAGCTTGTTCTCTTTTTGATTTAACATTTTACACAACGAACCAACTTGTTGTCGTTCAGCTGCGACAGCTGACACAGGTCGACTCTTCATTCGAGGGTTGATGCTCTAGTTCCAGTTAAATCGACAGAACGTCAGCTGAGAGAATTCTTCCCTTCATCTAATAACCACACAGGAATTTCATTGTAAGGATTTTTTTCATCGGCCTCATTTCTGAAGGTTTATTTTTTCCTCTGTGCGTCTTTGTTCACTGGTTAGTTTGATTTGCAGCCACAGATCAAACTGATTCATTTAAACTGTTTACATGAGTGAATATTAAATTCTGCTCCAAACTTAATTTACTCGACCAAAGTTACAGATTATTTCTTTGTCGAACTGTCAGAAACATTTATGTTGTCATCGATTCTCTTATGAAACTTCAGCTTTGATTTTTTTGAACCACAGAGCACCAGTCGATGGGTCTGTGATGCTGCGTCAGGTCAAAGGCAGAATCCAATTCGTCCTCGTTTCTGGGACCCGTTTAGTTTGTTGGCGCGTGCGCCACGTCGACAGGCTGGTTCCACCTGCCGCCACTTGAGCAGGCGTCGGGCTTTTTTTAGAGCTGCTCTGGAATATCGACGAGTTAAAAGCTTCACAGTGAAGTAGAGCACGAGAAATCAAAGTGGATTTAAACGGCGGAATTCATGTGACCCAGAAACTTTGGGCCTCAAAAACAAAGTTGTGTGGCACAGAAACACGAGGATCCGAAAATACTTTGAAGATTAAAGATAAACTAATTCACCAAGTGTGAAACTGTGACGAGAACAACGACGTTTATTTCACTGAAAACGAGGAATGTGATGGACGTACTCTTCGGAGTAGGTGAGGACGTAGGAGACGACCTCTCCGTCCGTCAGGTTGTCCAGCGGACGCCACCAGCAGGTGAAGTCCTCCATGTTGGGAGAGCGGCAGTAGTAGATGTCGGGCCGCGTTGTCACGGCAACTTCCTCCCCTGTGAAAAATAAATAAACAAATGTAATCTGACCTGATGCAAAACCACCGAGGAGCAAACAACTGATGAAGAGGAGACACGATGATGAAGAGGAGACACGATGATGAAGAGGAGACACGATGATGAAGAGGAGACACAATGATGAAGAGGAGAGAAATGATGAAGACGAAACAAAATGTCCACACAAAGGTATAATCAATGATCTCACAGTCCTCTCTCATTTCCACACACACACACACACACACACACACACACAGACACACACACACACACACACACACACACACACACACACACAGCAGGAAGTAGAAGCGCTGCTGTCGACAGGCAGAGGAGGAAAAAAAAAAAAATTGATTTTGAGGAATTCGAAAAGATTTGACGCTCAGTCTTGTCTCAGGATCCAGAACAAAGCGGCGAGGGACAGTTGAGTCGTGCGTCAGGTGTGTTGACTCCTGAGGACATTACACATGTCCCACTTCAAAGTCACCATCACGTAAGAGCAGGATCAAAGCAGCGTGTTGAGCAGTAATCCATGAGAGAATGCAGCAGCGAAACAAAGGCCTGTTGTGTTTTCTGTAAGAAGCTCAGTGATCCACGCTGCAGGAACTTTTCTAATCAACAAGCTCCACTTCAGGAACAAACCGACGCCGCTCCAATCTACAGCTGAGATAAGTCTCTGCCGCCGGCTCCGTTTTCTCCACGGTATGAAGTCTTAATTGCATCAAAGCGTGAAGTGAACATGATGCGAGAAGATTAACGCGATAATCACGAAACACGGAGAACATCTTCAAACCCTTAAGACTCATTTTCTTTGTTCCGGGCTGCGGCCGCTTTGGTTTCAATGTGAACCAGGTTTATTGTCACGTAACAGGTTTGTGATGTCCACGAAGAGACGCTTAAACAGAAACACACAATGTCCCATGAGAAGTAAAACAACAACAAAAGATAGAAAATCACACCAGAGACACAAAATGAACAGAAATAAACAGACAGACACCACGTGCAGCTGAAATCTGACACGTCCTCCTGTCATGAAAATAAGCTGTGGGTCAATCCTCTCAGGTACCAGTGACATTTCAGAACGCTGCCACCTCCGGGACGGAATCCCACAATCCCTCAGTCTTTATATTTATTGGAACCAGCTCACAGAAGAAACTTTCTTCTTCCAAGTTGATTATTAAATGAACAACTTTTCCCAGAAAGTGGAAGAGACGCTTTATTTAGGACCAGCAGCCTGAGAGGAAGAGACGGGGGGGGGGCAGCAGGAGGTGGGACTTTACTCTGAGATGCAGCTCGTGATGCAAGAAGATTTCTCTCCGCTGCACTGACGTCAACAACCTGCAGCCGGGGTTTATTTTCTAATAAAGCATCATCTGAGCCGCTCTGGTATTTTCTGTCGCTCTGTGTGAGGATCTGCTGACATTATCTTGAAAGAATCTCATCTGGGAAAGGTTGACGAGAAGAGATGGCTCCTGGAGATTTCATTTCCTCGGAGCTTTAGAATAAATCTGGGTTTCTTCTCTTTGTTGTGGCCACAAAAACGTTCAATTCACTGTCGACTAACAACATTTATTCTGTTTATTTGCGCCACTTTCAGGACATCGCCCGATTTTTCCACCATTTTCACACAGAGAGATAAATATGGCGTCATGTGACGCTGCTGTTCTACGACAGCCCTCCTGAATATGATCAGTCGTAATGTGGAGGAATATTTATATATAAAGTCAATCAGAATATTTCAGGTGTTAATAAAGAGCTGGACGTTATAAAAGCAGCAGAGTGAGTCATCCTCCCTGTCGAGGGATCGCTGAGGGGCTCTGTGACTGGTGCTCGACCTTTCACCTCCTGCAGCAGTGACGTGTGAGTTCATTGTTTCCCATCATGCACTCAGTCCAGAGCTGCAACCAAACCTTGACTGAGACACTGGAGGCTTTTAGACAAGTTCACATCACAAACGTCCACGTGCTCACACTCACCGCGGTTCTGTCCGGCTCTGTACGTGGCGTTCAGAGTCCACGTCGTGCTGCCGCTCACCAGAGGAAGCAGACAGAGCAGCAGCAGCAGCATCCTGCCGTCGTCTGGTCCTGTCAACACAAACACAAACATCATGAGCGTCCCTGCACGTGTCGAACACGTTTCTGACTTCATGCTACACGTCCAGTCAGGAAACACGACATCCTGTCCAGACTCGACGGAGACAAAGACAGAGCAGGTGGAATACACAGAAGCAGAGTTTGTTTTTAAATGAAGCTAACACTAACGAACCCAGAGACAAACTCTGGACACATGGTTTACATGTCAAACTCAAAACAAAGGAAAGACCAACGTCCCTGCAGAGATGTGATCAGTTGTTCGTCAGGTGGAAGTGAAACCCACGGAGGCTCTAAAGACAGATGGACGCAGCTCGTCTTTACTGCTCCACTATCAGTCCCCTGTCCTGCACAGCTGTCTCTGTGGAGGACACAGATCCCTGAAACGTATTGAAACTGTGTCCATCCAACAAACACTCGTCTCCAAAAAGACTGCAAAGTTGTTCAGCGAGTGGACGAGGACGTGAATCAGGTTTCCTCGACCACACCGCTCATCATCATCATCACGGACGCCACCCTCCTCGTCCTCGTCAGGGAGTTTGTGGAGTGGCGGCCTTCACCCCTCGTGTTTGACCCTGTGACTCGGTCCATTCTGTCCTGTTTGTCCATTCTTACTTCAGGAGGAAGTCCCCCTGAGGGATAAATAAAGTTTTATTGAAGTGAAAACATGAGTTCAACCCCCCCCACCCCCCCGCACTTCGCCCCTCATGATTTCACTCTGTGGGAAATTCTGTTTCCCTGTGATGACGTCCACCAGCTGCAACATGTGACCCAGACACAAAACGGACATTGAGACCAGGAGGAATTCGAACGTCCTGCGTGACATCAGCGCCTCAAAGTTCCCCTGCAGCGTTTTCACAGAATTCCTCCGTGAAACAAAGCGGACGATGGAGGAGACGAGTTCAAGGACCGGCCCCTGGTTTTCCCACAGACCGAGTGAACGAGCGTCATGTGGACAGAACAGTTGCAGGAGGCCCGAGGCCGAGACAATGAAATCATGTAAAATATCCTGTTGAGAGGAGGAGAATGAAAAGATGAACGCAGCGGTCTGTTCTTCTGTTTGTGTTCGAGATAAGAAAATAATTGATGCTTGTAAAAACTATTTAAATAAATGTTTACACAGTTTTATTTTTACGAGCTCAAAACAAATATAAACCTCAGCGATACACGTTTAATTAGCAATTTAATGACTTTTCATGTTGTGCAAATGAACCCTGGACCTTTGATTAGAACTCAGTACTGACTGGTTGGAATCTGCAGAGACAGAGACGTGAATCACGTCTCTGCTCATCTGAGCCACACATCTCTGCTCTTTAAGATTCTGCTGAAAGCTCATTAGTCTAATCAGCTCAGTGCGGTGACCTGGTCACACACAACACAATCTGTTAGTTCACCGTATCAGGGGACCGCTGAGGAGAAGCGTTGTTGTTGGAACATCTGCACAAAAAGCTTGAGCACAGCAGGACGCCGCCGAGCTCGTCTGTGACACGTTCCCTGACATGGACGAGGTTTATCGATAAAAAGGCTGAAACGAAACGATGCATCGGTGTGAATTCTACTTTTCAAGAACGAAATGTCATTAAAAGGATAATGAACGTGTCGGTCACATAAAGTCTGTGATTCAGCTCGTCACAGTTTATTTACAGCTTCATGTCTCAACATCCATCCTCACTCCCTCCTTTCTTCACTCCTTACGCCTCCTTTTTTTTATCTTCTATCCTTCCCCCTCCTCCCTTTGGTCTTATTTCTGTGATATTCTTTATTCTTCTATCTTCCTCATCTTTTGTTACCATGGCTTTCATTCCTTTCATTCCTTTCATTATTGATTAATTGATTGTGTGTGAATCTGAAATCAGTCGATCAATTCATTTTCATGACTTTGTTTCCCCCGTTTCATTCATCCTGTCTTTTATTTGAACTCCTTTATTCTTTCTCTCCTGCTGTCCGCTGACCTGAGCACAAGGTTTTTCTACTTTACGTGTAATCGAGTATTTCTCTGCGGTTCTGTGGATCGGTCGACCAGGGTCACGGACTTCACACATGAAAAACTAGATGAGAAACAATAAAACCTGTGACATGAGCAGGAGGACTCTGGAGTAATGGAGTCACACGGCGGCTCAGGGTCTGAGCTTCCGGCAGCAGAAAGATTCTCCCGCGCTAAAACAACTGCAGTGAATAATCCCTGACGTGACCTCAGGAGGATTAAAACCGAGCCTCGTTGGGTTTTATCTGGAAGCTTCGGCCTTTACGCACCACAGGTCCGTGTGACACAACATGAGCAACAGCATGACAAAGAATAATAAAAACACCAACAACAGTCTAATCCCTGAAACTGTCAACCTTAAAAATACTGATGCTTGTATGGAGTTTTTTTTAAAACGCCCTCAGAAAGACGACGGACTCTTTGTGTTCGTCTCTTCAGACTCTGAGCACAGAGCCGTCGAGCTGACCGGAGAAACGCATCCGTCACGTCTCGTCTGAGCCGACAGACAGACTGTAGCTCACATGACTCGAGTTTCATTTATGTTTGTGACACAGCAGCACAGCTGTAATAAAGGAAGAGGAATGAGGTGATGGTCTCTGAGATTTGAAATGTTGATCAGATGGAGATATATCGATTCATTATCACCTCATCATGATTTGTGTTTGAAGCAGAGACAAAAACATCATCCCACCTCCTCTTAACTAATTCCTCGTGAGCTCATCAAGCAGAAAGTCACATGTTTCACTTGGGGAATCTGTTTGTGGCTGTTTATGAATGAGCCACATTTCCCCCAGGCCTCCGGGGTAAAAGATAATCCTCCACTTCCTGTCACACAGAAGTCGCCTGGCTCCAGCTCGGTGCTCGTGACTCAGCGGACGATGCCTCTGCAGTTTGTTTTTAGACTCAGAGGGAGGAGATGAAGTGAGCGACACTTTGATCACTTCCACAGACACAAAGACGACGTGTTCTCGTCCGGTGAGTTCTTATCAGACAGTAAGTAAGAACAGAGCACGACTCAGAACTGAAGTGTTGGAAATAAAGTCTGGTCTGACTCGACGTAACACGACGTACAGGTAAAGTACAGAATGAGGACTTTGACGTTCAGATGATCTTTGGCTGAGGATTTAAATTCACAGCTGACGGATCAGAATCTGGACTTTGGATCCTGATATGGAGAAAAACTGCTTCGTGAGAAAGTCGACAGGAAACGACTTCGCCCACTGGATCTGAAATGTTCCGCTGCAGCTCCGCCTCTTTCTCTCTGGATCAATAAAGTTTTTTTATCTTTCTGCTTCAATCACGATAATAAACAATTATAAAAACCACAAGAAATCAAGGATCAGATCTAGAACCGCCTCTGTGTTGTGTGAGAACATGACATCATGATGCTGCTTGTGACGCTGACCTTTGACCCCCCCATATAAAATGTCAACACTTGAGCCCTTTCACCCTCTGGTTGTTCTGTGAGGTCTCAGGAAACTTGACCAGATAAAGAATAATAATTATTCTCGTCCATGTGATTCATAAAAAAATCCAATTATTGATTTTTCTTGATGAATAATTTTAAATTTTAAATTTAAAGTCCAATTAAACCTGTTCAACTAAGACTCATTTAAAAAGAAACGACTCATCCAGACCAGACATCTTCCTTATGGCAGCTCTGTCCTCCACAGATCAGCTCAACCGTTAATCTCAAGGAGCTGGAACCATCCCTGAGGTCACTGAACGCATCATTCAGGCGTACGCATCAATAACAACGGTTCCTTAAAGGCTCATTTGAACGCAGCGTCGCTCCTGGACACGTGATCGACCTGCAGCTTTAAAGATATTTGAGCTGATTTCACAGATTTCTGTTTTCATCGTGACAGCTGTCAATCAACTGATGCTGCTGACACTGTATTAATAAAGAACCGGGCGTCAGGACGGATCACTCAAAGCGTTCGTGGTGTCTTTTAATTGGCAGGTGGAGCAGGTGGCGAGAGCTCGGCCACATCTACTCGTCTCCAGTGACTCGACGAGACGAGCGAACGTCTGAACCCACAGACCTGCTGGTGGCACCGGAGCAGAAACGTCTGAAGCAGCTTCTGTTTGCACCTCCAGGTATCGAGTGGCGTCGCTCCCCCGAGCCTCCGCCCCGAACTGACCCTGTGACGAGACGGGGCCTTCTCAAAACTCCCAGAACGTTGTGAACCTTGGTTGACTTTAGAAAGATTTCATTCCCGTGTCGTCGTCTCAATGAACCATCAGAGTTTCTGAGTCACTTCGAGGCACCCAGTTTCATCGGGGACGTGTTCCCATGGTTACCAGGTTATCTTGTTTTTTTAATTTTTGGATTCTTGAGCGTTTGTGCTCGTTAATCCAACAGTTTGTCTGAGAGTCACGGCGTTCAGGTCTCGTGTCTCTGCCACCATCTGAAATCATCTCCAGCGGTTACTCAGTAGTTTGCCGCGGTCAGGACACGTTGAACTTAATGTTAGGTGACGGTAACTGATTTACCAAATCCTCCACAAATACTCAAATGTTGTGCTTTGGAGATAAACTCACATTTAAATGAATCACCGGGGAAAATAAAAGTCTGAATATTAAATTGTTTGTCCTCCAGAGGCAGAAAGGAAGATAAGATTAATGTAGAAAGTCTCCGCAGGCGAGTTTCTCACTGAACAACAGGGAACTTTGTCCAGACGTTGAATTACTTCAGTTTATCATTATGCAAAACACTGACTTGTCTTTGCTTCAGAGTTTGTGGAAAATATCCTGAAACTTGTAGGAAAGTTGAATCCAAACACTGATTTAAAATAAAATGTCTCCTGACACATTGAAGAATTTAAACTTTGTCCTGTTCCACTCGATGATCCGAAGGTTTAATCTACAGAAATGATCCAGGACCAGTTTTTATACTTTTCTTTATATTATTACATAAACACATATAAATCTGTAGGTTCT